CTCACCCCCCTTTGTGGCTTGAGGGGTGGGGGGAGCCCCAGTCTCAAGCCACAGCCAGCCACAGCCCTCAGGTAAAGGGAACCTGCTAGCAGTTGCAACCAGCTGCTCCCCAGCTGCTGCACTGCTGGCAGGGCGCATGGCCATCCATTATTGGTGGTGGGGCACAAGGAGGCCTGATCCACAATTGTTGGCCACTGTATGGCTGTCTGGTGCAGTGGCGACCTGTTGCGGGAGGAGAGTCCTCCCCCAACAATAAGATGGCGTGACGGGAAGGAGGGTGCCAGCCAGCGAGTGGGGGCAGCAACCTGCATTTGGTGGCCTGTGGCTGCCAAAGTATTAGCAACCTGCCCACACGGGGAGGGCTCTCCCCAGACAGTGAGCTACTGTAGCAGGGAGGCGAGTACTAGCCAACAGCCAGCTGGTGGCTGTGGTTTGCACAGGAAATCTAAAGGAGGGAAAGGTTGGCCAGGAATGTGCCTGCAGCCAGCCCAAGGCCTCCTGCACCCTCCCCTGCCCAACAGCCGAGTTCACCATGGGATCATCCCATTAGCTGTGCACATGGACCTGGTCGTCTCCCAGATGCTGATCTGCCCTCAGAGGGTGGCCGCCACTGGATCTGGTCAGCAAGCTTGCCCTTGATTGGCTAGCACTCCCACGCTGAGCCATGGGCAGGCACTGGGCTTTCCCTTAGAGGAATCTTGTAAATAAGCCAGTCAGATGTTCAACTGGAAAGGGTTTTATTAAAATAAGAGTAAAAGGGCAAAATACACACATACAAATACATGGGAAACACACAAGCTAGCTAAGAGGAAATCAGGGAGGAGATGGGAGAAAGCAGAGCTCTTTGGTAAGGCCCAAAGTATTACATGGTGCTTATATTAAAAGTATTAATAGAATTGCAGGTTGCTGTTGGAATGAAGTAAAATTACATAAAATACACTGCTTAGATTAGGGCCTAGACTGCCACAAATGTAACATTGTAATTCTTGTTAGCAATGTTTAGTGCTGTATGAGTGAAATATGAAATTATGACAAATGTAAAATCTATTCCAATTACGTAAAAACTCTTGTACTTTCCTGAGTAGTGGTAACACTACCTGGGTTTAATTTCCATTGCAGAAAGCACTGAGATCTTATATGGCATTTTTTAAAAAAATGCTTTATTTACATATATACAAGCATAGTGCAAGTTGAGGCACAAGGCACCAGATTCATTTTATTTATACATACGTATATTCTCCTAGCTCACATATGAGAACAGAGTTCTTAGAAGACCATCTCCTAACAATTATTTTGCACTGAAGAAATATCAGTCAACTATTCTAGGTCATTAGTATAGCAGTAGCCAGCCAGCACAAATATTCTTTTGATATAGGCACTGATTCCCACCAAATGTGTCACTTTAGGCCAAGTCCACAGTGACAGACCCATCCAAATTCCAAAGTCCTGGGAGAGCGATTTCACAGCTATACCTAATATCATTGAGCTGTAAGCTATTCTTTTAAGATTTTCCATTTTCCACTGTATCCCAAAATGTCTTTTTTTCCTCTCTCAGCACCCAAAACTACTCTTTTTCTTGCACTATCTTTCATTTTTGTGCATGAAAGTGTTTCTATCTCTAAATTTTTCTCTTTGACCTCCAGACACAAGGGGCTAATATTTCCAGATCACAGTGCAAGATCTAAAGACAAAGTTCCTCTGTTGTGATTAGATCTTCTGTAGGATTCTCTTTTAAAATACATACCTGATATTCTCTTTGTGGACATTGGAGATTTCATTTTTAAAGCTTTTCCATCTCTGAACCACAGATCAACCTTTCTCTACAGACTACAAAAATGTTGCACAAATTATCCTCGCCAATAAGCCTCAGATATCAGAAAGAATGCAAGACAGAATTTTTAAAGAAAATATAAATAGAATTTAGCATTACAAAATCCACAGTTATCATTATATTTCCTATATTTCATGAATATGGTAGTGAAAGCATTTGCTGACACTAAAGATGTTATTGAGACAAAAAGAGGGGGGTGGGAACCAGTGTTCCCTCTAAGCTGAGTTAGTGTGAGCTAGCTCACACTAACTCAGCTTAGAGGGAACATTGGTGGGAACTGAACCTAGAAACCTAGGATCCAGAACATGAAAAGGGTAGTCATAGAAAAGAGGGCCAACAATAAAAACTTAATATATATATAGTATATAAAAATATATATGTATTTATTAACAAAGAATTTTAAAATATATAAGGGCCCAATCACACCTCACGTAAAAACACAAGGGCTAATGGACTTGACCTGACGTGATTCGGCCTGCATAGGCCATCTTCAGAGGTCAAACACAGTGAGAAACATATTGGCTTATACAATAGTATGGTACAATCATCTCTCCTTATATATAATTGTATTTTGGTCATGGACTCTCCTGAATATTCCAACACATCTCCCAAATCAGTTGGCTCCCAGGTGTGTCACTCAGAAGCTGTCCCTATCCACTGGCTGTGTTGCTTGAATCTCGCCTCCAACGTTCTAAACAGTTTGCTGTTCCTCTCCACCCCCCATAGCCAGTCAGAACACAGAGGTCATTTGCATATGCGGCCTCATTGGCCTTTGCCTCTAACCAGGAAAATGGTGGACTCTGTGTCCTTATATCCTGCTGAGATGGCCCCTGTATGACAGCCAATGTGACGTAGCAGTCAGGGCATCAGAGCATGGTAGAGGCTGCAGATGGGGGTTGGAAAGCTGAAGAGTGAAGGGGAAATAAAGGTAGGTTGATGATTGGCTGGGAAGGAGATAGGGTTGCCAACTCCAGGTGGGAAATTCCTGGAGATTTGAGGGATGGAGCCTGGAGAGGGTGGGGTTTGAGGAGTGGTGGGACCTCAGACAGGTATAATGCCATAGACTCCACCCTCCAAACCAGCTACTCTGTCCTGGGGAACCATTGCTGCCAATCTCCAGGTGAGGGCTGGAGATAACTCAAAATTACACCTGTTCTTTAGGTAGCAGAGAGCAGTTCCTCCAGAGAAAATGGTGGACTTGGTGTCATTATACCCTGCTGAGGTTACCACAGCAAATTGACACTGAGTTCCCAAGGCCGGGGCATCCGTCCAGAGCCTCTTTCTAGAGCTCGTATTTATTTCAACAATGGGCCTTATTCCTACTACAGATATAAAATATAAATACAAGAAGGACCAGAAAAAAGCTGCTGTAAAAAATAGAGAAATAAGTATATTCTACTGAAAAACATATTGACTTACTTCCAAAAAGAAACCACTAGGCACAGAATAAAAGTACAAATGAGGCCTCCAAAGATGCAATCACATGCCAAGTGGTGTTTCCTGGTAATGATCTAGAAACAAAAAATATATATGAACCAATGCATTCTACAGTTTTAAAACTTTATTCAGAAAGTAATTAATAAAGAAAATTATTTTGTTACTTCTGGTCCAGCATTTGGAAACCAGAGAATTGTTTTGGATTCATGCCCTCAAAACTGTAACCCCATAGGGTCTAAATGAAAAGGTGGACTGGTATGTAGTATGATTTGTCCCACTGTTCCTAAGGGGCAAAATTTGGGGGAGGTTCAGTAGGCTGCAGCATGAGGGGGAGGTGAAAGTCCTGTTCAACAAAGTACATCGATGGATGAAAGCCTGTGTACAAATTTCTACACTTTGATGAAAGCCTGTGTAGAAATTAGTTCCTGTGTTAATTATGAAACACGCAGTAACATTCTCCCTTTATGTTATTTGTAGGGTGGACTGTGATAAATTCATTTATTATAATAAGTGTAACAAATTAGTAATACACGACTTCAAATGTATATCAGCCAATGAAATTGTTGAATTGTATACATGTTTCATTGTATATATGAAAGTGTTGTATACCTGTTTCATACATTCATTAGAGCCTTCATTTCCCCCTGGCCAGATGGTATGTACCCAAGAGTGCTCAAATAACTTTCTAGAGAGCTTGCAGAGCCTTAGTCCATCATCTTCCAGACCTCTTGGAGGACAGGAGATGTGCCACAAGACTGGAGGAGGGCAGACGTTATCCCAATTTTCAAAAAAAGGAGGGGTGACCCAGGAAACTACAGGCCAGTCAGTCTGACCTCTGTCTCAGGGAAGATACTGGAGCAGATTTTAAAGGGATCGATCTCTGAGCAACTAAAGGACAACTTGGTGATCCAAGGAAGTCAGCACAGCTTTGTCCCAAACAGGTCCTGCCAGACCAACCTCATTTCCTTCTTTGACTGAGTGACAAGCTTATGGATCAAGGGAATTATGTTGTTTACCTAGATTTCAGTAAAGCTTTTGACAGTTTTCCCCATGATGTTCTGATGGGTAAACTAAGGACTGTGGACTGGATTCTAGGATAGTTAGGTGGATAGGGAACTGGTTGGAGAACCACACTCAAAGAGTAGTTTTCAATGGCATTTCATCTGAATGGGGGGAGGTGTCCAGTGGGGCACCACAAGTTCTGTGCCCAGTACTTTTCACTATTTTTATAAATGATCTGGATGAGGGTGTGGAGGGGTTATTCATTAATTCTTCAGATTACACTAAACTGAGAGCCAGTTTGGTGTAGTGGTTAAGTGTGCGGACTCTAATCTGGGAGAACCGGGTTTGATTCCCCACTCCTCCACTTGCACCTGCTGATGTGACCTTGGGTCAGTCACAAGCTCTGGCACAGCTGTCCTTGAAAAAGCGCAGTTTCTGTCAGAGTTCTCCCAGCCCCACCCACCTCACAGGGTGTCTGTTGTGGGGAGGGGAAGGGAAAGGAGTTTGTAAGCCGCTCTGAGACTCCAAGTGAAGGGCGGGGTATAAATCCAATCTCTTCTCTTCTTCTTCTAAATTGGGAGGAGCAGCAAACACACCAGAAGATAGAGGTAGAATTCAACAAGATATGAACAAACTGGGAAAGTGGGCAGATGTGAACAAGATGCAATTTAACAAGGATAATTGCTGAGTTCAACATCTGGGTAGCAAAAATGAGGAATACGTATACTGGATGAGGGATACACTTCTGGGTAGCAGTGTGTGTGAACAAGATCTTAGGGTGGGAGCAGCCGCCAGCACTGCAACCACCACAAACCATGTGGGAGCCTTTGGCAGGTTTGGGATGACCACCACCGCCGGGCCGACATTTAGCTTCTCTACCCCTGCCAACACAAGCGCCCCTGGGCTCTTCGGTGCTACTCAGAACAAAGGTTTTGGATTCGGCACCGGCTTTGGGACTGCAGCAGGCACCGGGACTGGCCTTGGGACTGGTTTGGGAACCGGGTTGGGCTTTGGAGGCTTCAGCACCTAGCAGCAACAGCAGCAGCAGCCAACCCTCAGCAGCCTTTTCAGCCAGCCCACTCAAGCCCCCGCCCAGTCCAACCAGCTGATCAACACAGCCAGTGCCTTGTCTGCCCCCACCCTCTTAGGAGATGAGCGGGATGCCATTCTGACCAAGTGGAACCAGATGCAGGCATTTTGGGGCACGGGCAAAGGCTACTTCAATAGCAACAGCGCCTCAGTGGAGTTCACACAGGAAAACCCGTTCTGCAGATTTAAGGTCATGGGCTACAGCTGCATGCCCAGCAACAAGGACGAGGATGGCTTGGTCACTCTGGTCTTCAACAAAAAGGAGGCAGAGATCCGAAGCCAGCAGCAGCAGCTCATGGAATCATTGCACAAAATCCTGGGCTCCAACCAGATGCTGACTGTCAATGTCGAAGGTGTAAAGATAATGCCCGACGACCAGACCGAGGTTGTCATCTATGTGGTTGAGTGGTCACCAAACGGGACCTCGAGGCAAGTCCCAGCCACCACCCTGTACACTCACTTTGAACAAGCAAACATCAAGACCCAGTTTCAGCAGCTTGGTGTGACCCTCACCCTGGCCAGGACTGAACTCTCCCCGGCCCAGGTCAAGCAACTGCTGCAGAATCCTCCTGCAGGTGTCGATCCTATCATCTGGGAACAGGCCAAAGTGGATAATCCAGATCCTGAGAAGCTGATTCCAGTGCCGATGGTGGGCTTCAAAGAGCTCTTGAGATGGCTGAAGGTCCAAGACCAGATGACAAAACAGCATCAGACCCAGAGGTCATTTCGGGGGGGGAACGCGGGGGAACGCTTCCAGCCGCCCTGCTTCCAGCCCTCATTCAGCCAGGAGGAGGCAGGAGAAGAGGGAGGGTAAGTTGCTTCCTCCCCACCTCTCCCCACCCCTGCGTGCCTGGGGCCAGGGAGGGCCTTGGTGGGGCTTCCTCGCACTCGGAGGGCCCTGGTGGGGCTTCCTCGCACTCCCGCTGGCCTTGCAGGTCCACTGCCGGGCCCCTGACATCAGGGGGTGTGGCATATGCTAATGAGGTATGCTAATGAGTTCCCCTAGCTCTTTTCCTACGAAATGACCCCTGATCAGACCACATTAGACATAATATCAGAAGACATCAGTGAGTTGCAGAAAAACCAGATGACTACGATGGCCAAAATAGCCCAGTACAAGAGGAAGCTGATGGACCTTTCACACAGAACGTTGCAGGTTTTAATCAAGCAAGAGATCCAGAGGAAGAGTGGCTACACCATCCAGGCCGAGGAGGAGCTGCTCCGCATGCAGCTGGACACGATTCAGTGTGAATTCAACGCCCCCACACAGTTCAAGGGTCAACTGAACGAACTGA